TGTGATCGGCGGTGAGTAGACAGACGCATTGCTCACTTAGTCGCCGGCTTTTGTTTATGCCCCGAGCACTTATACAACGCTTTGTTTTTAGGGCCTCATAAATTGCGCATACGCCATGCTGCACACATATACACAGCCAGATAGCTTACAATTCTTTTTTCCCATTTCTACTATGTTCTTTTTTTGTCTCTTCGCGTGGAGACGGAAGCGCATAAATTTACCGTTGAAATATTTGTGAGCCGTGAAAAAGTCAGTAAAAAAAAAAATGAACAAAGAGAAAAAGACGAGAACTGTTTTACTGAATACGCCAAACGCTTTCGTCTGTCCTCTGGTGCATAAAGAGGAGTGCTGGGAGCTCAAATTGACATGCAATTGCAATGGCATGCAAATTGCACTTGCCGCTAGCCCCCCGCGATGACGCCACTGTTGACTGTCGACTGTGGCAAGTTCAATTTGGTAGTCACACCTACGTCATGTGGCACTCGTCCAATTCCGCTATGCACCCCGCGGATTTGTGCATTTTGTAAACTTTATTGTTGCTGTTGTCGTTGATATGCACATTTTGTTGCCCAAGAGTTTTGCCCAGAGAGCAACTTAAATAAATAAGAAATATTTTTTGTATGTATATAAATATAGGTATATCAAATATGAGAGCAATTTTCATTTGTTTGTCAAATGGCACTTTCTTAAAGCACTTTAAGTTTGACGTCTCAAGCGTTTGACTTGCCTGCATTTTGAGCGCTCACAGCTGCTCAGCGCTTTCGCTTATTTTTTGTGGGTCAAGCTGTCATACTCATTATGCTGTCTCATACTTTACCTTCCATCAGCATCAGCATCATCATCATCATCAGCATGAGTGGAAGCAGCAGCAGCAGCAGCAGGAGGAGGAGCAGCTCAAGCAGCAGCAGCAGGAGCAGGAGCAGCAGCCGACGTGCTCTATTGTTGTAAAAGGACCTCGTGGCAACAGTGTCCGTGAAGTTCGCCTCGCAGCTTGTTTGTCTATCCTTGTCCTACCTACGCAGCTGTTGCTGCTGCTACTCCTGCTGCTGCTGGCAGTGCTGCAGCCCACTTGGCAGCGTCGAGTTGTGTCTTTTGTGCCATCAATAAAATTACCAACACTGCTGGCCGTTCTCGCCCCATTCCAACTGCAATCAACGAGCAACTTTTGCATATTTATAGCACTCAACGAGCTGAGCTGAGCTGAGTTGAGCTGAGAGAACATATCCAAACTGATTTGTTAATTTTCTTATTTATAAACCACAAGCCTGAGCAGGAGTGGATGCATCAAAAGCAAATGTCAACTACAGCAAAATGACCCTGAGAGGCAGCAGCAACAGCAGCAGCAGCAGGAGCAGGAGGACAAATCACTTTCCAGCGTTGTCTGAGAAAATCTGAGAAGGCTGACAAGTAGCTCTGTTACAGTGAACTAAATATATAATGTTCAATCAAGCAGCAAAGTGCAATTGC